TCTGTGATTCAAGAGCTGGATGGGGAAGAGGCTGGGGATCCTGTTCCCTGCTCAGCTCCATCATCCGTCCAGTCCAGACAGCTGTCTCCTGGCCTGATGCTCCCTGCCAGCCCCTGGGTTAGCACCCAATCGGAGTCTAGAGCTCCCCATAGTAGTAGCAGGGTCCCATTATAGGCCCCAAGAAGCAGAAGCAATTTGCTACCATAAGCAGCAAATCTGCTCCAGCATTTACTCATGAGTAGTTTACTCATAAGCAAACTGCTCCCACATCAAATCTGTGTATAGACGCACCCATTGTGTAGTTCTTTTTATTCATATATGCCTATGTTTATTGAACCTGGTGATTACTGTATGGTATCAGACATGGTGAATGAAAAAGAACTTGAAGGATTTTGACTTCCAAACTGAAAAACTTTACACTATTATTTTTATTGTTAAGTTATATGTGGGTTTGATCTACTGTATTATTTCAAACAGAAGATGCCCTTGAATTTAAGATGCATAAATTTTCTGATCTCACTTTAAGAAAAAAAATCAAATAAAAAGACACAAGGATACAATCTCTGTGAAGCCTGTGAGAGCTTTTTGCTTTTTTTTTTCTCTCCAGTTTAAGATGCAGGCCATTTTAAAAGGAGTCTTTCACTTTAAAAGCTAGATCTTATATTCAAAGGACCAGCATATATCTGTATTCTAGTAACTGCAGGCTGATTTTGAGAAAGGAAACCCCAAGAGTAAAGACTACTGATTTGAGATCCACAGTAAAGATATTGTACCTGGAGTTCTGGTGGAATCCCTGGATAACCTTTTTCTCCTTTTGGTCCATGATGGCCACGATCTCCCCTTGGTCCCAGGTCCCCTTTGTCTCCTTTCTCCCCTTTGGCTCCATCATGGCCAGTTGCTCCATTATTTCCATTGTTTCCATGATTTCCTTAAAATAATCAATGTTTTCTGATTAGTCCCAATACAATTATGTAATACATAATCCATATGTTAAACACTTTTTGACAGGATACTGTCCTTTCCCACCCCCAAGCCAAACAAATCCTATTCTCAGTATAAAGGTGACTTGTTCCTTGAGCAGCCAAGGAAGTTGATCTGTGTTAAGCATCCTCAGAAGGGTGATCCAAAAACCTTGCACAATGTCTGTGCAGCATCTCAGAGTTAACCACTAGGGAACGCTGAAGACAGATGTGTACCTGAATAAACCCAATACATTTCTGAGGTAGGTACCTTAGAGGAGCAAGCAGTGCACTCCAGATTAGGGGTGCAGTATGCACTCCAGAGAATATGTGCCTAGATCCATTCTTTGAAAGAAAAGGACAGGATAAATTGCTTCATTTAGAGCTTGGCCAGAAGAGGCACTAGGACTGACTTTTTTTTTTTTTTTTTTAAATACCCAGGGTCCAGAACATTCATTCAGTAAGTTCAATTTCTGTCTCATCCTGACTGGGGCTCAAACCTATATATTTCTTACCTCCCAGGAGAGCACATAACAACCCAGCTACACACTGCTCTAGGTGCAGGCTCTCCTCACCCCTCCTGCTGAAGCTGATTCACTGTGTAGTAATACAACATTCATGGGACCAGAAAAAAAAGAGAGTTAGTGGAAGCATGAAGCCTAATGATCAGGATACTGAGCTGGGAGAGGAATCCCAGGTAGCAGTCCCTTCTCCGACCACTGGCTATGCATTATGTATTGTGTAGTCATTGGCATGATAAAAAGAAACTATTCATGTAGAAGAGACTCTTGTTCTGCCAGATGTGTGCTTCTGACACTGGACTATTAAGTCAGTCTTTCGCTTGCCCTTTCTCTAACTCAGTCCAGCCCACTGTACCTTGTCTCCCATCCTGCACAGTGAAACAGCTTAAGCAAGAAGGATGGAAATTGCCCAGTCTTTTGATTAAGGAGGTGGGAGATAAAGGTCTCTAGGTGAAGGTGGAAATTGAAACCAGATTTCCCACTTCCTGAGCAAGCACTGTAACCACTACACGGTGCTTTTAAAATTGGGCATGTCCTCCTTCTCCTCTAGGTATGTGTTAAGAAGAGAATTGCCAAAACTATACTTTACAGGTGTTCTTATGTTGCCAATATGTATTGGGCATGCTCTGAGCATGCCTGCTCTATCAGCCTCCTCAAGGAACTTAGATCCCAGTCAGAATTAGACAGGAGCTAGGCATGTAGTTGCCCAGTATGGGGCAGTTCAACACACGTGCAGAAGCAGGCCACTTTTCTCAAATGAATCCAAAAAAGCAGCTTGCCACCTGTCTGCACAAATACAAATGACTTGGGTAGAAAGTACTGTAACCTGTGAGGAGTCTCTCACAGGTCAGCCAACTCAGCCAGCTCTGCCTAACATTTCAGAATATAATTTCTCAGGCTGACTAGGTACTTATGAAGGAACTGGCACATTCTTTGAGACTCCTGGCACACATTTATTTAAAGGCACCATGGGATTTGAGCCCCACACATTTCAGATCAGGGATAAGACCCCAATTGTGCCCGTTATGCTTGCCCATGAAGGGGGAGCCCTGGATCATCATCCCAAGTTTCCCCAGCACTGGCAAGTCAAATGCCAGGGACTCAGAGTCCAGTGTGACCTGGGATTGTGCCAGAACCAGGGTCAACAACATGCTGACTGTTGGGCCCCGACACTGAGAGATCAAGTCATGAATCGATTAGATGTGGGAGACATGGTTGATGTCATATACTTGGATCTTAAAAAGGCCTTCAGTACATTCTTCCATGACACTTTTATAAAAAATCTGGGGGATTCTGGGCTGGCAGAGTCCATGGTCAGATGGGTTGGGAACTGGCTAGACAGGGGAGGGAAGAATACAGCCTGTGGCCTGCCAGGCCATTCTTTCTGGCCCACGGGACCCCTAAAAAATTTAGACAATTAAGATTCATCTGCCCTGGCTGCCTGTCAAAGATGACAGGAGCCAGTGGCAGTAGGACCAGGGAGAGCCAACAGCAGTATTAAACAGCTGAAGCAGTAAGGCCGGCCCAGCCCCACCCCACCCAACCCCAACCACAACCCCAGGTGCACCAACTCAGGCCCCACACTCCTGCCCAGCTGTTGCTGTGCTCTGCAGGCCCACTCACTGCCCCTTCCCCCCGCCTTCCACAGCCATTTTCCCACTCCCCCCTTTCTCGCCCATCTGCTGGCCAGCCACTCCAGCACCACATGGTTCCTGGCTGCAGCGCCAGGACCACAGAAGCAGCCGGGATGTGGTGCTAGAGCAATGGGGGGAAGGGGCAGGAGCAGCAGGGAGGGAGTGACAGGGGAAGGGCAGCAGTGACAAATGGGGGAAGTGACTGTGAGTGGCAGCATGGGGCCCCCTGGGGCCAGGAGCAGCAGGAGCAGAGCCTGGACTTGGAGCAGTAATGGCGGGGGCTCTGCCTGCCATAGGGGGGTGGGGGAGGGCAGGCTGTGAGGAAACCCTCCCCCTCCACACATGCCACAATCTTCCCCAACCACCCACACATCCACATGCTCCCCCACCCCACGTACACACTCCCAAGCCCCCTTGCCTATCCAACCCCCCACGTGCACCCACACCCTTCCACAACATACAAGAGTAAGACTTAATTTTAAGCTATTATACCATTGTACACTATACAAACACATGTAAGTCAAGACAAAAATAGTTTTTGAAATGAAATTAATGTATGTTGTAGTACGTGTTTGATTTTTAGAATATAATTTGGTATTTTTCTGGTTCCAAGGTGACAAAACCCCCTGCTGAAAGGGGTATTTCCAGGGGACAAGGGGAAGGACTTCTGGTGGCAAAGGTCAAGGATTAGGGGGTGGGACTTTCAGTCCCAAGATGGCAACCAGGGAGCAGAGCCCCTGTAAAGGGGCAGGGGCTACCCATGTGGCCCTCAATGAGCAGAGTGGAACCAGATAAGTGCAATAGGGATAAATGCAGAGTGCTTCACATGGGATGAAGTAACCAGTGACATGAATATAGGTTAAGCCAAGGGTGGGCAATTATTTCAGGCCGAGGGCCACTTACTGAGTTTTGGCAAGCCATTGAGGGTGCATGACAGACAGCCAGGGGCAAACAAATCTTAATTTTCCAAATTTTTTTAGGGGCCCCACCAGCCAGATAGAATGGCTTGGTGGGCCACATCCGGCCCACGGGCCCCATTTTGCCCACCCCTGGGTTAAGAGGAGATGTCCTGGCCAGCATGATGGCTGAAAGGGACCTTAGAGTTATGGCTGATCACAGGTTACCAGTCACCAGTGTGACACTGTAGTCAGCTGAGCTATTAGCATACTGGGATGCATTAGCTGATGCATCATGAGCAAGGCTAAGGAAGTAATACTTCCTCTCTATTCAGCACTGGTGAGACCTCAGATGGAGTACTGAGTCCAGTTCTGGGTGCCACACTTCAGAAAAGATGTGGAGAATCTTGAAAGGGTCCAGAGAAAGACCACAAGAATGATTAAGGGTCTGGAGGATAAACCTTATTAGGAAAGGCTAAGGGATCTGAGACTGTTCAGCCTAGGGAAGAGAAGACTGAGGGGGGACTTGGTGGCCATCTATAAATATGTAAGAAGTGAATATTGGGAGCTGGGGGAAAAAAAACCTGTTCACTAGGACACCCCAAGGGGAGGACAAGGAACAATGGCCATAAACTGTTAAAGGACAGTTTCAGGTTGGATGTAAGGAAGAACTTATTTATGGTAGGTGACTAAAATCTGTAATAGACTTCCCAAGGAGGTGGTGCAATCCCCAACCTTAGCAGTCTTCAAGAGGAGACTAGACTGACACCTTCCTGGGATAATTTATTCTCAGCAATATTCCAGCCCACAGCAGAGGGTGTGGACTCAATCCATCAAGGTCCCCTCCAGCCCTTAATTTCTATGATTCTGTGATCACCAGGGCCAGTTCAAGAGATCAGGTTGTGCTAGGGCCAGGGCCAACAGATCAGCTGATTGTTGGCACCAGCTCTGGGGCAGTCCCACACATGCCGTATGTTCAATTTAAAATGCCATACAAACCAGCCACAAAAATCTTCTGCATTATACGTGGAATGGCTAGTTTGCCATTTTATGGCACCTTAAATTTGGTACATATGTAGAACCCTTCCCATTTACACCATGATTAACACATTAATCATGGCATAAATGTAATATGTAGTGGAACTCTTAAACAAGTAGAAGATGACTCAAGATGCAACACTGCTGATCCAGTTTGAGCATTTTCTAAAGAGGGTCATTTCAAAGTTATTTTTAATTGTTTGTAATGTCATCTACTCTTCCCAATATTTACAAAAGATATCACTGAAGCATTGAAAATATTGTGCAACCATCTGTGGCAACTGCCAGGATTTTAAGGGTAACCAGAAAAAAATGATTAACTCCTAGGATCAAACTAGGATTAATTGAGCTAAATGCTTAACCTTTAAATGAAATTATAGAAAGAAACTGCCTTGATTTAATCACCACTGAACTGAAATTAGTTTCTTTGCAGCTAAGCATTCTTTGATATGTAGTGATTAGTCACTCTTCTCATAAACTTTCAGGAACATCATTATTATTTTCTAGATCTAAGGCCAAATTCAAGGGTGCTTTTTAATGAATCATCAGATGGTTTTGGTGCTAAGGAAAAGTAATGTTGTCCATGAAAGGACTGGTTAAATCGTGAGGGGAAATTAAAAATGCTGGTTTCTAGTGGGCAATTTGGTTTCTCTCTCTTTTTTTTTTTTTAGAACGAAGAAAACAATTAAGTTTGTTTTAAAAAAATCACAACAAGCTAAGATTTAAATAAAGCAAGAACTATATCTTGCAGGCAAAATACAGTCTGTGGGCTGGTTCCGGCCTGCCAACTGATTAGATCTGATCTGCTGACAGGCACCCACCAATTGATTGTATCCATCCCACGAGTGCTCCACATGGGGCCAAGCTGCACACACTCATG